TTGTTGCTTTGGTTTCAGCGCGTTTTGGGATTTTTATGGATGAAAGGTGTGATCAGTGAGTCTGGAGGAACTGCTTTGTACACAGCCAGACCAAAAAGAAAAAAAACAACAGTCTGTACTTGGAACACTTTGTCCTGCTGCAGGTGTCATCTATCACCAGCAATGACGTGTATCAGCATCATCGATCATCCGTAATGACGAGTAAGTCAGTTTGAAATTTTCACCCTGCTGTTAACGTGCTTTTAGAGGGCACTGTACGTAAGTTGGGTGGACGGACAGAAACCCAAATGGAAATTGGAAGTCAATTTCTTCTACAGCAGTGACAGCTAACATTTTAGCCACACACCAATACTTCAGTGTTGTATTTATAGATTGTCCTGTTGCCTCCGGGTGGCAGTTTAAGAGGTACGGCTATTTACTGTTCTACTTTTATAAAACCGAAGCACCTGATGGACAAAGATTTGAAAGAATCATCAATGCTACCTCTTACCTGATAAATGACTTTATCTATTCAACTCCCAACCTCTCAAATAACTAGTAGCCACAGATCAAGGTAACTTTAACTACACACAAACAATAATTTTGGAAACTCTATATTTTACTTTTGTCTCTAATCAAATGTTAATTTATGATTGTCCCATTTCTTACTGTAGTAATAACTTGTGTCTAAGGACGAACACACAGGTTAGCAACAAAGTGAATCACACACTTTTAGGTTTTTGAACAAGTGAACAAGTGTTTTAACAAGTGTTTTCTGAGCTGAATATTTTAGCAAGAAAGCTAGAGGGAGGGAATCTCAGGATCCGCAAGCAAGCAACAAAAATAAGTTCAGAAGTGCATAAAGTGGGTGGGGGGAGAGATCTGAAAAACGAACTTAGAAATGGAGCTTTGATGTCAGACTGAAAGACTCCCTGGCTGACGCTGATGTACTTAAACTGGCTAGATTAGGTTTGGCGTCACCAGTCAGTGGAGAATATCAACAACTTCAAACAGCTTTATTATCTGAGTAAGGGTTTGCTCTGTCTGTCAGTCCATGTCTCTTTCTGCCCATCTGTCCGTCTGTCTCAAAAGTGAGTGATGTACTTTACCCGACCCACAGGCAAGGCTCTCTTTCTGTCTCTTCCTTGCCAGCATCATCTCTACCTCTACATCGTCTTCATCCATCAGCGGCCCTCCTGCCTGTGCGTGTCAAACTTAACACGGACAGACAAATGCAAACTAAACATTACTCTAATTTTTTTCTCCCACCATTTTACGTTGAAAGTGAGGGAACTTCTGAATGACAATTCTCATTCTCAGTACTGAAAATTCACTGCTTGGAGTAAACAAGCCATAAGCTACTTCAGCTTTATTCTCCAGCTGACTCAATTTGCGACTATCAGCAAATTATGATGAAATGAACCTAATAGAAAGCTGAGATCTGCAGTCCTGTGAAAAACTACGTACACCCCATGATTTAATAACTTGTAGAGAAACTCTTACTAGCTATAACGCGGTTCACCTTTCGCGGCCTCGCTGTTTCGCGGATTTTTATTGTGCAATTTTCCATGTGCGTGGGGTTTTTTTTAAACAGCGCATTGTGTTCTGCGTGCTGATTGACTGTAGACCATTGTCAATCAATCTTGTGCCATGTCTCCTGTACAGTACAGAATGCGTTCAGCTTGTCAAATTTACATAAATCTTCGATCGCTAGCAGTGTGACTCTGCTGTACTGTATGTTTGTACGTTTTCTCCCCAACAAACACAATGTCGACGACTGCGGGTGCCTTTGGTTTCATTCTATAATACTGGACTTATTTTTCTATAAGGGTTGAACTTTGAGGGTGTTTAAACAAGAGAGAAACGTGTGAACATGTTCATGCCTGTCTGAGAAAAGTGTATAAAGTGTGTAGTGAGGGGTTTTACAGCCTGACAACATCTATAATAACTATAAAAAGTTGGGTACTTCGCAGATTTCACCTATCGCTGGTTCTTTTTGGAACGTAATTGCCGCGATAAACGAGGGACCACTGTACCTGGATTTTCTTTTTTCCACTGCAGTGAGTTTCTCATTTTCAGTGGACAGATGAGCTGTTATTTTTGTCCACAGACCAGTTAATGTTTGAGAATTCTTACTTAAAGAAAGGTTACTCATACAAAACATGCCACGATATTTTTTATATTTCTAGATTAGATGAATAGCGTAATTTCAAAAGTGTCCACTAGTGGTGATGAATCCATACGGAAATATTGCTTCAGGCTGATCCCCTCTTTCCACCATCTTTCAGATCGTTGGGTTTTACCGCTTTTAACTACAATGGTCTGGTTGACCAAAAAGACTTTAATCAATACCATTAAAAGCCACATTAAACAATCATCTTCAGCAAAAAGCATCTAATAAACCTAGCATACACCAGCTAGGTTAGTAGCAGCTGCTGAACATCAGGCAAACATGAGATGACTGGCAAAATGCCCCCAAAAAGCTTCAAGATGGCAGTCCAAAAAGCAATAAGCATCATCACTGTGACTAAGTCCATTTTTAATATACAGTCTATGCCCCAAACCAATACCAATCACACCATGACGCTTGTCCATTGTAGTTTGGAATCTGCAACAAAATGTTTCTATTAAATCTGCACCAGTTCCAGAAATGTTCAAATGTTTCCTCCTTCTACTGAAATATGGACAAATACAACAAATGACTCCAAACAGTTTCCTTTCTCCGATGTGAAGAGAAAGTCGGCGCTACATCCTGGCTGGCACATCTCTGCTTTCGAGGGGCAGTGTCACAGTGAAATATACATCACACAATAGGAACAGTACTGTATGTGCCTGTGTGTCGGGGAGAGGGAGCGATTGTGCCAGTAAAAGCACACCTCATTACTGGCTTCCACTGCAGCCACAGTCAAACAGCATGGTGCCTTGCTAACCCACATAACAACGCACATACAGGACCATCTCTGCTGTATCATTATATCGAATCAGGTTAGGCTTCTCCCTCATTAGCTCTCTGCTGGTCTCCTCAGCTCCCACCGGATGCCATATTATGAGCAAGAGTAAAAGAGGCAGGAGCAGAGACTTTTTTTCCCCATCATAACTCCATCTATTAAGAATGCAGCGGGAGAGGGTTGAGGTCTGCCAGACCCCGAAAATTAGCAGTTTTCATTCCACGTTATAAATTGAATGGCATCGTACACGGTAACGCAGCCTGCTTTAGGGATGTGGGAGTCTGCCGTCGTTAAGTGCTTCACGACACCCGTGTGTGAAATGTTAAATGGGAAAAACGCACCATCCGTTCATGGTGAAGTCTCTGTAGAGCATCCTCTTGCCCACCTCCTTCCTCTGAACTCTCCGGGGGAACTCCAGGTGCGTGAACTCATTTCCTAACAGGTGAGGCTGCATGAAACCCTGGAGGACAGACAGTAATTTCGAGTCATTATGTGGCAGATGTGCGGAGCATCCTTACCCATCACTGTAGGTTTTTTGCCCAATTTTAAGTGTTGCAACAAACACTATTTGAAATTTCATTATTAAAGAACTGCGAGAAGCTGAAAGAGAATCTTCTCAGTGTTCTGACGCACAAACTGTGTGATGACATCAGTGTCATTTACACTTAAATTTGCTCTAATATGCTCATTACCAGCTCCATATTTTTTTATTCAAGGACTCTACTAGACTAACTTTGAAAGACTCAAAAATCAAAATAATCCCAGTTCTAAGTCCCTCCCCTTTAAGCAAACTTTCTTCTGATTGGTTGCCCCTCATGAACAGAAGATTTAAACACACCTCAGATGGCCATGTTAATAATATCCACAGCCAACAGCTGAAAAAAACCTGCTTGAAACCAAACATTTAGAGCAGCTTGAAGCCTTGAAGCAACTCGAACTACTTACTTTTAACTTTAGATTTGTTATATATGAGTCTTTAACACTTTACTAGTATATTTATGAAAAAAATAAAAAAAGTATCTATAAAAAAAACACTTCCTTAGGATCTCAAGTTATTTGTACAGAGTTGAAGCAAACAGGCTTGAACATAGGATTCACATAACATATAAATTAATGTTAAGTTTATATCAGGTTAAGTTAGCTAAACAGGATTATTTAATTCCACAAAAATTGCCAAGTCAAATATTTGTATCTAATTTTTTTAGGTTCTCTTTACTTATTATGCTATGGGTCATATTTATTATAAAAATTGGATAAAAATGTATATTTGGTATACGTAGTACCACTGCATGTACAGTGGGGTCCATCATTTGTCAGAAAAAGACAAAGTTTTTTTTTATTTGTTTTTTTTATGTGTTGCCTCTGTACACAAACACAGTGAATTTTAAATCATAGATCATTTTAAGTAATAAATCTTTTTTTTTATTTTTTATTCATAGCTGTTATTACAGCAATTTGAAATCTGAGCCCCAAATTGATGTCATAGATGCTGAAAGGCTGAAACATCAAAAATAAATCTATCTGAGGGACCGCCAGAACTTTAGGGGACAAATCAACAATCTGGTTCATTCTTATAAAGAAGGAAAACACTGGCCAGCTCAGCAACACCACAGAAGTCAACTAAAATGAATTATTTACATGGTTAAGAAGAACAATGTCACAATATTTAACAAAGTCATGAGGGAGGCGTAACTTCGTCGAGGTCTACAATCAACAGACGCCTTCATGAATGCAAATACAGAGGCTTTACAACATGGTGCAAACTACTGGTTACTCTCAACAGGTATATTGTTAGACTTGGCAGAGAACATCAAAGAGAACAATTATGAAAAAGAATCTTTGGATAAATGAAACCAAGATGAACCTGTAGGAGAAGTAAAGGAAGCGCTGACGATCTGAAGTGTATGACAGAAGCAGCAGGATGAATTCTGAAGTGTACAGGGCCTCACTCTCTGCTCGTTCAACCCAATAAAGCAAGCTTTTAAGTTATTAACACAAAAGTGAAGACAGAAAGAGCCACAAACAAGGAGCAGCTGAAGGCCTAGCAGAGCATCTCAGGGGAGGAAACAACATGTGGTGACGTGAAGTTGTTGAGTTGAGGCAGTCGTTGAATTGTTGAATTAGAGCTGGAAATCTGCACTTGACTCACATCTTGATTGATTTAAAATCCTGTGCTGGTGTACAGAGGCAGAATTACAATTATCTCGGTCTAACAAATTATAGATCCAACTGTGCGTTCATCAATATTCAGATTTCATTATAGAAATATGAGTGAATGTTAAGCACCACTGCACTTCCAAAGAAATTATAAACACTTGTTGTGTTTCTTAGGAAAAGTGAAAGGCGGAGAGTTTCCTTACCAGGAACTGGAGTCGCTGTCGTTCTGACTCTGGTGTGAACTCTGTCGACATGGGAATGATCTCATTGTTTCTAATAATGATAGCCCTGCGCACACAAAGACATATAAAGTGTTGGAAAACATTACCGGTCATTCAAATGACGTGTTTTTTTTTTTCTCAAACTTCAAGGGCAAAACATAAGCACAGGTACCTGCTGTCACCTGCGTTCCCAACAAATAGCTTTCCTAGGAGGTAAACCACAGTGAGAGCCGTGCATCCTCCTGTGATGTTAAAAACTTGCTTCTCCCTCTCGATCTGGGCGTCCTAGCAGAGGTAAGGACAAGAGACGGAGACTTTAAAGGAGCATCGTGCGAGAAGACAATCGGTAAGACCTTCGAAAACACTCCCACGACCGCCCACATGACAAAGATTTAGGAAACGCCAAACAAGTTAAGCTTTTGCATGGCTTGGTCCTCACGTGGGCAGAAGGAGAGTTTACATACACTACACAGAGTAAGACTTTATTCACAAACACAAGAACCACGAGAGGGAGAAATACACAAGCAAACAGCGAGCAAGAGGAAACCTGGTCAACTTCTCAGAAAGGCGAACAAAGTGTGGGCATCGAATGAGACTATCGATTGGTTTAACCTGCACCTCAAGTCGATGTTGTGTCAGTAAACAAGTGCATGTTGTGAGCGAATCACGAAGATACCGATTCATGAGATGGCTTGCAAGTGGACTTATAATTATCAGGTCAGAGCAGCAATGGATGTTTAATGTACACTCCTTTGTACGCTATGTACGCTCCTTTTTGAGTCCTTTACTGTTTTAAAAGAGATTCAGTTTGCTAGTTTATTTCAATGCACAATCATAAAACGTTGCTGGAAATGCACCACACACAGACTGTAGAGTATTTTTAAGGGATTCACATAATGAATAAGCAGGCAGAACAATAATAAAAAGAGATGGATGGGTGAAATTTGCACAAAACTAAAAGGTGCAGAAAAAACATGCTGGCTTGTTTTATACCAACTGAAGGCTAGATAAAATACACTAACAGTGGAACACAATAAAATACAAATAGAGCATCATCAGGAGACATCTCACACCATTCTTCTTTGGCAAATCTCTCAAGCTCCTCCAGATTTGATGGCTTGAAACTTGGTCTTCAGTTCAACCCACAGATTTTTTATTTGTTTTTTAAAAAAAGATGGGAATCAAGTCAGGGCTTTTCAGCAGGTCAGTCGGTAACGTCCACTTTTGTCTTGTAGAGGTAGTTCTTCGCCAGGAGTGATGTATGTTTTGAGTTGTCGTGTTTTGAGGACAAAGTGATGACCCAGGCTCAGTTTTCCTGCTAATTGCTTTCAGAATCTTCACGTCCTTTCTTCATGATTCCTCCCACCTTGATTAGATTCCCAACTAAAGACACGCTGACAAGACGTCTCTTGATAGACTTGTAGTATACCGAATCATTCTCGAGGTTGTCCTTAAGATACTTCAGTCTGGTTTGAAGGCGTCTCTTCTGCAAAAGTGGACTTTTTCTTGGTCTATACTCACAGTCCATTCCATGTGCGAGGTTCCAGTGATTGTCTTCTTCGGCATCACAATTCCTGACTTGGTTAAGTCATTCTCTTGTGTCTCTAGTGTCTTGGCAGTTGTTCTGGAATCTTTAGACACATTTCTCACTAGTTTTCTAGAAATCTTTCACTGCCTATCTCTACCAGCCTTGTTCTGTGTGGCTCTGTTCGAATTTCTTGATGATACTTCTCACTCCAGATCCCAACACCTGGACACGTTGGGATAACTTTTTTTATCCTTTTTTTTTTGTGAAGATCAACAATTCTTTTTCACAAACTGATTTCTGGTTGTTTTTCGGCATAAATTGGAAGACAACCTTCATTTAGAAGTTGATTTTATGAAGCTCTGAGCATCACAGAAGCACATCATTGCACAGCGCTGGTTTGTGATATGACTCAATAAAAAGCTCCGTTTTTCAGGGGGATAATAATATTGATGATAATTTAATGCACGTCCCCACTTGCACCTTTTGTGAACCAGTGCTCTCATGCTGACTGATGCTGACCGGGTTATGAGACGTACAAGGTGTAATTATGTGCCTTAAACAAACATGTGCACATATTTATCTGAATATTTGCTCACGTTTCTCCCAACCCAGAAACTCTCACATCAGATCAGCAACTGAGCAATAATGAAAATATAGTGAGTTAAACCCAGCATGGTCTAAAACATGGATGAATGCTCCCGGACTTACAGTTGTGTAGAGAAAAGCTACAGAAAGAGCTTCATGAGGAGCAGCAGCCCCCTTGCGGGCTTCAGATGGAATTTTTTATTTTTTATTTTTTTTTAAACTCAGTAGAGATCACGGCTTTAACCGATGAAGTGATAATCCTCTACAAAAGATGTCAAATCAGGTGCAAAAGTGCTTCTTTTCAAAAGAGGAAGGGTAGCGTCTAAGCTTAGTCCAGCCTGAGCTGTTTGGGTTGCTTTCCATTGCCATCTAGTGGTAACACTGCATAATCCTTGCCTCATAAAAGATCTTACAAACCAATTTAAAAGAAACCTACAATTAAAAGAAAAAAAAAAACAGAAGGAAACACACGACTGAAAGGGAATAAAAGTATCTGTTCTCTTTTAGATAACATCTATATAAGAAATAAGTTTGATGTTGCCACAGGCTCTTTCATAAATTTAGCTGCGTGCCTTTAATTAAAGTGCTAAATATTTACAGAATTTTTATGCAATGCTGCTGTTTGATCAAGATATTAATATGATTAATGTGTGTGTATATATGTGTCGTTTTGCTAAAACGACATCACTTCCCAGTTTGCTTAAGTAAGGAATAAACAGAGATGCTAAAGGTTATGGTCAAAGAAAATATTTGTGAGAATCTTTTCAAAGTGTGTATGTTGGCGAGTTTGCGTGCCGTGTGTAAAGCTTTTATTTTATTTAGCTTGCGCTGACGCCTTCATCAACTACATGTGCACATCTGCTTGGCATCCCTGTAAATGTTTAGTTTGTACACACATAAAAGCACACATGTGGATAATGTAAATATGCTATGCTTTTTCCTAAAAAGCATGCTTAAAAAAATCAGTCTGTGATCATTTCGTGGCCTTTAGAGTAAATTTACGAACCACATTCAACTGAAATCAACCACGTTGTGTGCAGGCCGTCTTGCAACGGCACAGACATTCGAAATCGTACAGTCTGTTCAGAGCAATAACTGTGGCTTGCAATTATAGAGTAACCTTCATTATTTGTAATTATTTTTTTCCAACTATGGAAAAATTGTTTGGCCCGTAAACATCTGCTGCTTTCAAGAGCGTTAAATGACACTTTAACTGCCGCACCTGCATGATGTGCATATAATTACTCTTACAGTGCATTTGCTCTCATTTCTTTACATTTTGCTAGTAAAGTGGAGAATAGGTGCAGAGGTTTATCAAACCATTAAACACAATATATATGAAAATACTGTATATAACGCAAAAAAGAGAATTTGTACAACTTGAAAGTCAACATTTGGAATGACCACCTTTATTCTTTAACTCACCCCGAGTTCTCTCAGGCAGTTTTCTTGCTATTTTTTAAAGTAGTCTTTAGGGATATTTCTCCAGGCTTCTTGAAGATGATCCCATACTGCTTCAATAATGCTGAGGTCCTGGCTCTGGGGAGGCCAGTCCATGCACTGGCAGTCTGTTTTGTTCTCATTGTCATAGTAAACAATTAGGCCACTGCCAGTCAAATGCTTTCTAGATGGTATTGATAGCCTGACGACACTTTTCTATCTTTTTCATTGCACTGCATGCTGAGATATGCCAAGTTTATAATAAGCTATTGAGCTAATAGCTCTTTGGGAATCACCTTGCTTATGTAAAAATATTATTTTATGTCTTTTAAACACTCTTTACTTTTCTTATAGATTCAATAAAGAAAAGTCAACAAATTAAGTGTTTTTGGACAGGCTGCCTTGAGTCGGTAACCTTTTTATATTTTAATGATTAACAGGTTTGTATTAAGTGGCTTAACAAACAAACAAAAAGAAACTTTAGGAAAATGGTCAGGTATCAATATTATAAAAGTACCGCAACTAGCGGGACAAAGATTTGCTTTTCTGCACATCCAGTTAATAACTCTAATATAGGTTGGACCATTTAAGCTGCTTTAACCTGACCAGAGTTGCAAGCCACTTTACAACCCACCTCCAACTTAATTCATGTGTCAATGCCATTTCTGTTGTGAATGCCAGCTCTGTTCTCACGTATTCATGTGTCCAAGAACAAAGTCATTAAGCCAAATATTTATTGGAAATAAAGTTCATTGTTAAATACTTGAATCTGTTGCCTTTTCACCATATTCTTTGTGTCTTACAGTCACAGTGTGAACGCAAACTTAAAAATGTTTCCAGATGTGAGTCAAAATACAAGCGACCCGGTCAAAAGTCATGTTTGTGCCTGCTAAACACCCTTAATTATCACTTTCAGGAACACGGGTCATCTCAGTCTGTGGGAACAACCAAGCAAAACAATGGCTAAGTGGGAGGATTTATAACAAACAATGTCTCACTCAAATTGATTACTTGTCACCACAGGAAAACACATTGGAAATGTTACTAATAACCACTACCAACAGCTTGCTTCCTTCCAGTAAGCCATTTAAGTGAAGCAGCACACACAAAACCAGATCTATAATTACTAGTTATTAGTTTTAATAATTGCCTTTGAAGCTGATTCAAACAGTTAATAAAAGCGTAAATAGCTTTGGATGGATTAGAGGAAGGAAGCTGGTGAAAATGCTGATATTGGAGTCATGACTGTCAAATGAGTGTCAAATTCCTGAAATGTTAAGTAACAAAAGCATGTCACCCATCTCTCACCATCTCTTTGAAGGCGTTCTCTATGGCTCCAATCACCAGGCTCTCGTGCTGGATCTTCTTCTCAGTAAAAAAGCGTGGTGGAGGCGGGGTGCTGCAAGGGGAGCCTGGTGCACCTGTGGCCCCGCGCAGGGAAGCAGCCCGGGTCAGGGCACGGTGAGGAGTGTTTCCCTGGAGGTAGGGATTACAGTCTGGCTCCTCGCCCAGCACGGTGGGGGGTGGAGATGCCAAGTTGCGCAAAATCTCTATGACGGCCTGAAGCTGGCAGGCGATGTGGTGTTGTAGCAAGCGGGAGGCGACAACTGCCGCACCTGAACCTGCGTGACCGTCGAACAAAGCCCAGTAGTGAAACACGAGTCCTTCGCTTTCCTGCAGGTGAATGGTGAGAACGCACAGAACAAAGGGCAGTTAACGGCTGAATCAAACATAATCCCATTAAAATACAGACTCATAAAGGAATTATACTGTTGCTGCATTTTAATCAGGATTAATTGATAGCTTCCCTTGTTCGACAACACATCAACACATCATGCTTTACATCTGCAGGAAAATCCCAGAGAGATCTCCAACATAGACACGCACATCCAGACAATAAAGATGGGTTTTTTCAATTTTTCCAAAATTCCCCCTGGTCATGTCATTTAATCCATAAATAGATACTTTTTAAAAAACAATCTGACATTTGAGGAGAGGACCAAAAAAAACAAAGCAAAAACATGTTGCTGAATGACTAATGCTGATAGGAGATCATGTAGTATGACTCATCAGTGAAAGACCAAGAACATCATGACTCATTGTGTCCAGTAACACAAGTGTTCCAGAGGTCAAACTTCCCTATCAGCTATCTGTGGGAACAACCTTGTCACATCTGCGTCAGAGCAAAGTCACCTTGGCATTACACATTATTCAGAATGCCTTGCAGAAATCTTGAGTTTGAGTTTCAGATGTAGTCACACCCTGAGTTCTGAAGAAATTTTAACTTCTTGACGCTATCAGAATCAGAATCAGAATACTTTATTAATCCCTGGGGGAAATTATTTTTTGTTACAGTGCTCCATTTTAAACCAACATTAAGACAAGACAGACAATACACTAACTAAGAATAGTACAATATATACATATATACACATACATACTTCACTCATAAATAAATAGTTGGAAAAGAAACATGTGTAGTTGTAGCAGCAAACAGTGTGTTAAGTGGATGCGTTGTACAGGGAGATGGCCACAGGCAGGAATGATTTCCTGTGTCGTTCAGTGGTGCTTTTCGGTAATCTCAGTCTCTCACTGAACGTGCTCCTGTGACTGACCAGCATGTCATGGTGTTATCCAACATTGTCTTTATCTTGGACAGCATCCGCCTCTCCGACACCACCTTGAGGGTGTCAAGCTCCATCCCCACAACATTGCTGGCCTTACAGATTAGTTTATTAAGTCTGTTGGCATCTGCGACCCTCAGCCTGCTCCCCAGCATGCAACAGCATAGAGGATCGCACTGGCCACAACAGACTCATAGAAAATCCTCAGCATTTTCTGGCAGATGTTGAAGGACCTCAGTCGCCTCAAAAAATAGAGACGACTCTGGCCCTTCCTGTAAAGTGCTGTGGTGTTTTTAGCCCAGTCCAGTTTATTGTCAATGTGTACTCCAAGGTATTTATAGTCCTCCACTATGTCCTTGGACTGAACAGTGAACAAAAAGTATTGGGAGATAAACCTCTAACGATGTCTTGTCATTTATATCCGTTTTCAGAGAAATCTTTTTCTGGAAATGTTATTTTACAAAGAAATGACTCAATATGAAGCTTTGGGGAGTTAATGATAAAGTTACCATGTGTTTCAGCTATTTACTCAGAGAGCCTCTCACAGTTTTGTGGAGGTGGCACTGACTGAACAATTTAATGAAACATAAACAACTGCCTTTTATAGTTTGATATTTTCTAAAACATCATCACATATGCTGGAATTTACTGTCTGCGAATACCAACAACCCAATTTCATCTTCTCTTAGTGAATATGATTAAGGCAGTCCAAAACTCTGGACACATTTCTGTGTGGAAAACTGGTTTTGCAATGGATAAAACAGGCTTGTAACATCTTCTGGAATGGATTTCCCAAAGCCCAACCCTCAGCCCTCCTGAAAATGCTCAAAGCTGGGTCTGTGGCAGGAAACCAATCATTATGAACCCTACCAAGGAGGGTGGTCAAATATTCAGCCTTATCCAGATGGGTGGCTGTTTGACCATCCTTCTTGGGTGGTCAAATGTTTATGCCAAACAATTGTTGATGGCTACGAAAAGCATCTGGTCTAGGTACAGCTCGCTTAGGGCCGTTTAACAAAATATTACTGGGGGTGTACGTGTAATTTTAACCCATGTGGGGATACAAATCAAATTCAAACTTGTCCACCCAATTCTTGTTCTTTTAAGTCATTAAAGATATATGCCATACAATCATTTCACCCTAGAAAAAAAAAAACAGTTCAAAGCAATCATTAAAAGCCCCAAATTACCATGATATCCATGCCCATGATGAGTGCATGTGAACTTTTGACCACAACTATCTCTAAACAGGAACTCCCCCTAAGACATATTGCAGTCCTGTAAAAATTGCTGTGTTGTAACCAAACATTTCTGTTTGGAAACTGGCAAAGAGGAGAAGAGGTGAATCATCTGGCTTCCAAATGAGCCAAATCAGTGTCAAACAATATATGAAGTTTTTCATTTAATTTCATCAGAACAGATTTACTGCACATGTTGCATCCAACACACCAAATAATCCATTAAACAGCTCTAAGGACCATAAATATGGGGACAACAAACCCTCGCCTGTAAACAGTTTAATCCCAACTAGAAGTTGCACAGAAATCCTCTTGCTGTGCATTTAGTACAAAAAAAAAAAAAAAGAAACATTTTTTAAGACCAACTTTATTCTGCACAGTTGTTTACAAGTAGCTTCACTTGAGGTCACTGCAACCTATGTATGCATGTTAGCAAAATCTGTCAACATTTACAGTACAGGCTGTATTTGTGTGTTTGCATGCCGTTACCTCTCCTAGTCTGCTGTGCTCCATATGGAGCCCTAGGCCCTCTCCGTTGGGCAAGGAGTTGCGTCTCTTGGCGGTTGGGGTCTTGCTGGGTGTGGAGGGAGGGCAGTAGCTCATTGGCCTCCTTCTTGCTACTACCACCTCACAGCAGGCCTGGTCCTCATTCAGCGCACTCTTACCAGCATTAATAACCCTGAAAGATGGGGCACAATGTACAGGTTTAGTCATATTATAGGCAGTCACCCATTTTCTTGTCAATAGCCTTTACCAAAGAGTGATTAAAAATCAAATTTGTCAACATTCAGCCAATATCATTTTTTTTTTCAGTTAAAGTCTTTGTTTCAAACATCAGATGCAACGCTTGCTGTGATTTCCCAGCTGTTTTCTGGAACGAGCAGTTGAACAAAAGCTGAAATCAGAAGCTTTTTTTGTGGGATGAAACAGCGCCGGGGTCTTTCATAGTTATTAAGGCTCACTGCAGGATTGCAACAATTAGTCAGACCCACTGCCTGCGGTTTCTATCTGCAGACCCAATGAAACAGCATGCGTTGTACGTTTCATGTCCCTGATGAAGATCAAACAGGAGCGCTTATTTGTGGTACTGCTCTGCTGGGAGTGTCCTGATGCATTGAGACAATCGCCTCTGGGTGAATATGAAGACTCTATTTGTGCTTAGTTGTACAAAGGGTACATGGCCAGCGCTTTGTGCATGTACGCAGTCCTGCTGAGCTTCATTTGTGCTTGTGTGCTTTAAACCCCCCCCCCCCCCCCAAAAAAAAAACCCCCAAAACAGGCAGACCACAGAGAGAGTTTGCAGAAAAATGTAGCCCACTAACAATTTAAAAACAGCATTGTTTTAAAGGCAAACCACACTCTTAATCTAACAGTTTTTAAAGTTGAAAAGAAAAACTTTTGTCTTCAGTCTGCACGATAACCACATTGTTATCTGCAGCCCATACTGGAGAATAACAATTTTTCTACATATCTTGGGAAATTTTGATCAAACATCACTGTGCTCATATGTAGTTTTGGTTAGTTTGTTTTTCCCCAGCTGCGGTTTAGTGGTGCAGCACTTAGCATTGTCACCTCACTGCAAGAAGGTTCCTAGTCTGAATGTCTTTTCTGGCTGGGAGCTTTCTGTGTGGATTTTGCATGTTCTACCATGTTCTAACAGGTGACACTAAACTGGAATGTAGCTAAACGGTATAAAGTATAACACAGTGTTACAATTTATTTTATGTGTCAATATTGTATCGATACAGGGACACTAAATATCGAGATTTTGTTTAATAAATGTAAAAACTCTGGGCATACTATGAAGAAGAGATCTCATCTCAGGCACCACCATCCTGAGATGATGCTAGCCAAACAAACTTGCATTAAATCCATACACTTAGCCTGACTAAGCTAGCTCCTAAATCAGTGCAAGCTAATGGTTTAGTGACACGTGTAAAAATAGGACAGCAACCTCCTTTGCAAATAATTGCTGCCTGATTTAAAAATGCAGACAGAATCAACAATTTCATGTCTTTCATTTAATAGCTTATGGTACTGTCTAGAGACAAATGAGATAATTCAGGGTACGTTTTAGCTTGTGCCTTCGCTGCCACTAATAAGCCACTATTTTATGGTCATGCAGGGCAATTAGGGTTGCAAGTTAGGTCTACACTTAAACAGTTTCATTAAACCCTTAGTTTCACAAAACCAAGTTGTCGATGGCCACAATACCAAACTAATGACTTGACAACAATAGTCCGCAAAGTAAAGTTTGTTTCATGTTGGATATATGAGTTTTTAAAATATATAATCTATATTTTTATTCACTAAAATACATTCACGGAGTGTTTTGTCCATAAGAGTCTTCAAAAGGTAGCTAAAGCAACGTTTGTGAACACTTTTACACATTTGAACCTGTGACAATGGATTCTTTCAGTCTGCTGGAACAATACAGAGTAGTATTATGTTTTGAGTTGACATAATGAATTTGTTTAAACAGTCTCCTATTAATGCCCAACATTCAGGCGACAGGCGACTCTTCTCCACACGCTACACGCCATAACTAAGCAGTAAAATCACCAACACTGTAAGAGTGAACCTTTTCTGCTTAAACTAAATGCTTCTTAATTTGAAGCACTCGTTTTCACTTGCTGTCTCAAAGGTCACTACACCAGCTGCATAACTGCTAACTCTAGATAATGTAATTGGGTCACAAATAAATGGTGAAAAAAAGTTAGACTGGCAAGTCTGGCCAAAATCCCTGGAGGCTGTTGTTGTTGTGTGTTTGTGTGTGTGTCTGAGTAGAGAAATTGGCATGTCTATTTATAGACTTTATTGTCAGTTGCTTTCTGTGAGGCAGCAGCCTTGTCTGGTCCCCGGTCTGTCTCAAATGCTCATTAGCTTTAGTTAAAAGAGCCACGATGTGAGCATATACATGTGTATGTCTGTGTATGCATAGTGCGATATAACTGATACTTTAAATTGTTAAAATACATAATGCAACAATAGCAAAAGTCTGTATAGTGTAAGAATATACATACACAGTATATGAACATTCTGAGGTTGAATAAAAAAATTCTTTTTGCCAATTTCTTAATAATATTTAGTTATGTGCCATTAGCGTTTGAGCTGTGCAGACCTTAGTGGTCAAAATCAAACGTGTTTTTTTTTTTTTCTTTAATTGCTTATCAATCAATTTGGTCCTAATGATCTCACATCATTGTCCTATGACCCCAGTCAAAGGCATCCAATTTCATCTCTACAGTTTTAATAGAAGGAATAATGAATACAGTTACTGCAGGGGTGGGCAACTCCAGGCCTCGAGGGCCGGTGCACTGCAGGTTTTAGATATCACCCTGGGTCAACACACCTGAATCACATGATTTATTCGTTACCAGGCTTCTGGAGAACTTCAGGACATGTTGAGGAGGTCATTTAACCATTTGAATCAGCTGTGTTGGATCAAGGAAACATCTAAAACCTGCAGGACACCGGCCCTCGAGGCCTGGAGTTGCCCACCCCTGATGTAGTCCATCTATGTTAAATCTGTTGGTGGGATGAGGGTTAAACAATATATGGTGCAGATTAATGAAAGAATTATTAACCACAACACAAAATTATTTGGCTAACATTTCTGTAGGTGTCTAAGATGATCAATGGATTACCAGTAGGTTGTGGACTGTTGATTTGCTGGTGCCTGTTATATTTATTCCATCATTCCCCTTCCTGCCACAAAGTATTCTTGTGGTACTGAGAGAACTCCCGACTAAGGATGACAATGCATAGGCTATAATGTGTCACTCACCGCGAAAGCTATCATGACCACTGGGTGGTCGTCAATGGCGATTAAACTTCTCTGCATTCCAACTTTAGCACCGCACCCACAGCAATAAGTACCCTCTGAGTTACTGTGGTCATAAAACACTCTGAGGCATCGTCCACATTTGAGTTTGTCAACAGAAGAATTCCAGGAAGCGTTTCTCTGCTTCATCCAATCTGCCTGCAGAAAACATGGTAATCGTCCACATTAACGATGCATTTAATTTAATGATCCCACTGTGTTACACGAAACACACAGCCCCCATTGTGCGCACGTGACCGGGAGTACTCATACAACTTGTTTCTGTCCTCATTTCAGCCATTTCATAGGAAGAATGATTTCATTTCCCTGCCAAAGAAGACATAGCTTTCCTCCCATTAGGAACAAAACCTAATTTTCCCCTCCATTGTCAGACATCCAATGCGCTTTTTGTTTCTCCATCATCAGCAACAGATTTTAGAGCAGACATACCCCCCCACCCAAAAAACTGGAATAATTATCTGGTGAAGCACAATGGTTTAATACTGTGCCTCTAATCATAACAGGAAACAAACAATAATGAGGAGCTCAACAGTAAAACAGTCTTTTAAAAAAAGTCTAGATTTAACACTTCATGAAGATTTTTGGTTGGAACTGGGCCATCTGAATACAGAAGATAAGGAAATTTAACAAAAAAATTCTGAATGGACTGTAGGAATGAATGGGTTTGGATTTCTTCTTCAGCAGTAGGCACTTATTGTATCCATTTTTTATGATAATACTGAGAAATTTGCAGAAGTCTTAGCAATTTATAAATCAATGTACCGCTGATATCTGGTTGTAGCTTTTTCTGATAAAAAACAAACAAACCATGTTTTCTCCCCTGACATTACTACATGATGTTTTTGCTGGCAGCAAAGATGATGTAGTGCTAAAAGCCTGGGACTCCCAGGCTCTCAGACTGAATCTCTGATTAAGAAACCTGGATACTGGCCGGCGAGTAACAGGAGGAAAAAAAAAAAAAAACCAGCACCCCTGCTTGACCCTAAGTTGGTAAATGGATGGAGAGCTGGATACACTACCTCTCCTCCACTCAGACTTGCTGCCAGTCTTTCCCAGTGGTGAGTCACCAGTGGTGACTCACGATACCAGAGTTAAAAACATACCAATTGGCCTTGACCAAAAGCCATTTTCTATTTAAACCACCATTAAGAAAGAGACATTAGTAACACTACATAGTGGCATAACATACTGGAAGCAAAGTTTTATTCTTCGAATTAAGAGACTTGTCCCAGCTTTACTATCCTGATAAACTTGTTTATTGGATGATAAAAAAAAAAAAAAAAAAGTTTAGGTCCCTGAAGCCTCTCACTTCCCCTTTAGTAGCAGCTGTAAAGTGGTTAATTTTTTTAGTACATCTCACACATTGAATTTAATGAGACTCAGAGTTATGGATGACATGGAAAATATTGTCTTGATAACATTCAGTGACGTTCTACAGGACTGTGGAAAAGTCTTGGGCTACTCCTCATTGATGTTTATTTTGCTTCCAGGGAGCCAGACTTTTATACTTAAAAAAAAAAAAAAAGTATTTTATTGTAATGGTCTTTGGAAGAAGCAGCAGGTGTAAAAACACTACACACAGTAGATGAACTTTATCTGAAAATCATCTCTCAGAGACCTACTGTTCACTGAAGCCTCAACAGAAATGGAAGGATGCAAATCAACAACAAAGGGTCTGATGGGTTGGTAAATCCAATTTCTGATTGGCTCATTGGCAACAGCTTCATTTTCCAACGTGACAATGATCCCAAACACACTACCAATGTAGTAAAAGCATACCTGGATAGAAACATACACAATGGAACACTATCCGTCATGAATTGGCCTCCTCAGAGCCAGGACCTCAACATTTTTGAAGAAGTTTGGAATCATCTTGACAGAGAACAGAAAAAAAAAAAAAGGTCAGCCAACACCAAAAGAAGAGCTCTGAATGTCCTTCAAGAAGCCTGCAAAAATATCCCTGAAGACTAATTAAAGAAATTACAAGAGAGGTTGTCCATGAGAGTTCAAGTTGTGTTGAAGAATAAAGGTGGTCATAACAAATATTGGCTTTCAAGCTCACAAGAATAATACAAATGGTTTTTAACCATCTATACTTATATATTTCAATATATGTTTGTATTTCAATCAATAATTGCACCTATTTTCCATTTTTTACCAAAATATAAAGACATTAAGGGTGGCTTAAGACTTTTGCACAGTGCTAAAAGGCATCAAGAAGTCAGTTAATTCAGTTTCTTTGGCAGGTACATTTAGTTTGGTTCCATCAGCTAAAATTTACATCCCAGTTAAAAATTGGTGAATTGCGGATAGACCTTAGTAACCTAGCTAGCAAAACAGCAATAGAATTAGCTGATAACTGCCCAGCTCTACCCTGTCTACAGCTGCCTTTGGCAATTCTCCCATTTTAGTGGGCCTTTTTAACACTAATTAGCATGTATCTGTTTCCATGTGCATTACAGACTCTGTGGCTGCAGCTGCTAACAAAGCCTGCCAGCATTAGCGTCAGCACATCTATATATGGTCACTAAATATGGTCACTCCAGGCTCCAAACGACAGCCACAGCCAAAGTGCCTAAACTTGATGCTTCAAAATGTAATTCCACAAACGCAACAAAATGGGTGATGTGACTGTGTGTTATATATAAAGTCTGGGAATGGCAATTAAACCTGCACCAATTCCTACATATGTTCTCTTGCGTATTAGCTAAAACTCAGCCCTTGAAGCTGTTTATAGACCAGCTTGGTGATTTGTCTTTTTGTAGGCTTCATGTACACTGCTTCAACACGCATACATTTAAAGCCTGGTTAAAAGAACTCCTAAGCTGGGTGTGGAAAATCATTAATCATGGGACGGATAGAGCAAATGGTAAAATTAACAAGACAAATTCGGTTATATGTCTACGTTTGCCTTGGAAATTTCTTAATCAAAAAAAGGGAATGTAATATTTAGCTTATTAATTCCCAATGTAAAAAAGAGGCTAGAGTCCAAACGGCTGCTGTAATGAGAACACTGGAGGCTTTAATTACAGATAAATGCAGAGAGGAACTGAACTCATTAACCACACCGATCCATTCAGAGCATCCATTCACACAGATCTGAGTGTAGCTTTGTGTGATGTGTTAAAAACAGGAAAAGAAAGTGAGGTGTGATCATACGTCAAAACTCAAACTTCATGTAAACAGAAAAATAATGTGCTGCTGGCCAACACAGGAATTTGTATAGCATATAATCATTATTTATCTCCAGCTTTCTCAGTATTATAACCCTATGGGGCAGAAAAGAAGAAAGGGCTAGATATTTCTAATTATCAGTGAGGCCACAATTTTTCCCCTCAGAACTGCCTTAATTCTTTGTGGCGCAGATTAAACAAGGTCCTGGAAATGTTCCTCAGAGACTTTGGTTTATATTGACCAGATAGCACAGCTAGCACACAGTTGTTGCAGATTTGTCAGCTGTACATCCATGATGCTGAATTTGTTGTTTCACCAGTCCATCTATTTTAAGAGTATATTCTTCTGCATACCTTGGTTGTAACAAGTTGCTATTTGAGTTACTGTCGCCTTTCAATTTCACCCAGAGGGGTGCTGCTTACTGGATATTTTCTCTACTTCAAATTAGCAGTTTTTGAAATAATCAGGCCAGCCTGTCTGCTACCAACAAGCATGCCATGGTCCAAGTCACTTGAGGCACCTTTCTTCTCCATTTTAATGCTCAGTTTGAACTTCAGCAGGCCGTATTGCCCATGTCTACATACCTAAATGCGCTGCGTTTCTCCCATGTGATTCGCTGATTGGATAGTTATGTTACTGAGCAGTTTCAGAAGTACCTACTGAAGTGGCCAGTGAGTGTAGTGTAACTACTTACAAATCCAAACCCCATTTAATGTTGCAAAGACTAACTGAGAAAAGGCAACATCGCTTAGAGCTGAGAACTTCTATGTTGAAAGACTGTAGCCAGCCTAGGGTTATCAAGTATACACCTACTACAGACATACTAGATCAGCAGTCCCCAACCCCCGGGCCTCGGACCGGTACCGGTCCATGAGTCGTTTGGTACCGGGCCGCGAGAGTTGAGGCTCAGGTGTGAAATGTATGGTTTTCAGGGTTTTTATTGGTTTTCAGCATTATTTTGTCATCGTTTTTACCGTTAACTCTGTTTTCCCATGTCTTGTCACGTGTGTTATGAATAAATCTTCTTTTTTTCGGTACCGGTACTAGTTTTATTTTGTTGTATTTATCTGCGACACCTTAAAGGCCAGTCCGTGAAAATATTGTTGTGCATAAACCGGTCCGTGGCGCAAAAAAGGTTGGGGACCGCTGTACTAGATAACCTCAGTGTCAAAGGTAGTGATTAATTAGGAGGGAATTCCTAGTTTGTTCTGAGGGTAATCGCACATGTATTTGTGTACCTTATCATTAAATGTTAACCAAACACTGCTCATAGCAGGTTGGAAGGGAGAGATTGCCAACTAGAACTCAACAAAGGGGAGGAAATGGATACACCAGGGTGCGGCTGACATGGCAGTACCACAACAAAAGACAAGTGCTCCTGCAAAATCTAATCATATCTAACCACAATGGAAAGTATAATGCACCACAATGGTGAACACGCTCACTCAAAAACTGACTAATCTAGTTGTATGATCGTATGCATTCCCTTGTCTCAGCATCATGATACAGCATAAACTGCAGATTTGAGCTTCCATTAATTTTAGCAGGGTGTTCCAAGGGAGAGATTGATTCCCCCCCCTTGTAAAAGCCACTCAAAAAGTTCAAAAGTTCTTAAATTTTCTGTAAATTGTGCTTACCATTCTCATATTCTGCACTCTAATCAGGGATTTTTTAAGCAATAGTTTCTAGTAAATCCTGATATGAAAAAAAGTATTGTAAAACAAATGTGTAAGCGCGCTTACAGTGTTAGCAGGGCCCTACGATTATTTGTGGAACCAGCACATGAGTCTTAAATTCACTGTAAGCTTTTATATAACATTTGTTGAGCGGCGTGTTTGCAAAGCTCCAGTGTAAAATGTGACATGACAGCAAGAGGACAGATGCTTCACGTGCCATCTTTGAAGGCGGCAGAAACGGCAAGCAGAAAAAACACAAACAAGAGTGTGCTCTGAAGGCTAGTCAGCTACTTCTAAAGCCAGAATATGAGTTTGCACTGAGCCACAGTGCATCTAGACCAGAGATGTCCAACTTATTTTACATTGTGGGCCACATACAGCCAATTTTGACCTTAAGTGGGCCAGACCAGTGACGCGGGAAAAGACCCACGGAAACAGGAAGGAAGGAAGGAAAAGTTATAAACCTCATGAAAATGCAGTTAAAAGCCACAAATCGATGCCCTTTGTTACTGATTGGAATCTGATTCTGTCCCTGAGGCCATATGTTTGACACCCCTGATCCTAGACTTTACTGACACACTGTAGCTTTGAGTGGAGCACTGCTGTAGATTAAATCCCAGATACTGCTGTTGGAAGGCGTTATCCTCTTGCACGTGAAAACCAGCTTGGGCTGTGATCCCTTGGATGCATGCTGTCCTCTACTTCTCAAGGCCACACTTAAGAAGCTGCACACAAAAAGGTTGTTGTGTGATCCCTAAATGAACCATAACATATTGGAGAAGGATACAGGTCACAGGTCACAGTGCAGGTTCAAGTTCGTGCTCCTTGATTTGTGTGTCTAACAGGAGGAGCAGAAAGAGTAAATTGGAGGGATAAAGAGCTGAGTGAGCAGCTGCACGCTCTTAGGCCTCAGCTAAACCACATCATTTGGTTTAAGTTAAACGCATCTGACACAGGAAAGTCAACAAGAATTGATTTTGAGGCCGACTGCATTTGTTTTACTTACTCAGCGTATCCGGTGGCCCACGGTAACCTCCTGGTTTCCTTGAGGATGAGGATGGGCCGAGCTATGTGATCAGCAGAGCACTCGATCTCATCCGGGGACAGTCCAAGGAAATCAGGTCTCATATATGGGAATTTCAGCGGCAGCTCGGATCCGGTATTGCCGCCTGACCCGGAGCTACCCCCGGCCATGATTCCCCCCATGAAACCGGCCACGGCGGACTTTACACGGGTGAGCATGTTAGTGGCGCGTCGCGGCGGGGTGTCCGTCGGCCGGTGCGGGGCGCCGCGGCTGCCTTTCCCCGGATTCCCCCCCAGCTCGGCCGCGCTTGATCGACGAAGGGCTGGACGAAGAAGACGACGAGGAGGAGGAGGATGAGGCAATCCTAGGATGATTATGCTTTCATTGATTCAGTGCGGAAACAAGAGACACAGAGGACAGGATGGTGGAAACTGCAGAGATGCTTCAACTAAAATCCTGCACGCATCCATGGAAAGCAATTGATAACAGCTCGGCCGCCGTGAAAGCGGAAATGCACTAAAGATTAATGGTCATGTGACGCATCCATGGATGCACACTGGAAATAAAAAAACAAAAAAA